GCGATCTCATGTCACATTATAGTCTTTTCAAGTATGATAAAATATTTGTGCGTATGTGTAAATCTATGTGTAAGAATTTGTGAATCTAGGCCAGTGATGTTAAATTAGATGTGCTCTATTATTTTTTTTAATTTCCTTGGCCTATTATTCTCATGTTTTGCAGTGCTCTGTAGGTGAAAGGGAAATGCCAAACAGATTATATGGAAAAGAGGGAGAAGAAAAGATGACTATGCTCCATGTAGTTTCAAACATTTCAAAGAAACCCATCCTCATAACTGTTTTTGTTACCACAGCAGTTAGGAATGCACAGCCTATATTTGGTCACAAACGTTTCTTAAACAGAAGGAGAATTTAGGACTCCTGATTGTTATTTTGTTAGCAGTCTAGCAGAATTGCAGTGGAAACATACCTGCTGCCAGGGGCTATCATCCATCTCCCCAGCCCATGGTCAGTAGTAGCTTCTTGAGTGGTGTCATGGAAATCAGTAGGGTTAAATGAATACAGTCCTACTCAAGATGAGTATGTCTAATGGTAACTAACCTCTAGCCTGTGAGCATCACTTTCACATTCTTGATCTTCAAGTTTGGCTCCTTTGTTATCATTGCCAAGTGTCTGAAATATGTGTACGCATGTCCTTGACACCATGCCAGGCAAGCATGTCATTGTGCAAGCAGGAGATGGACGTGCAAGAAGCCATGACTTCTCTGAAATCAGTGTCCAGCCAGGTGTAGTGCACAGCAAGGAGCTCAGCCTCTGCTTTTGCTGTTGCTTCTGGGGGATGGGACCTCCCAGCTGGCTCATGCCAGTGTCTTGGGCCATGATAAGGGGTTGGTAGGTGCTAGGGGGGTGGTCTGAGTCCACAAAGCCCATGAAAGAGCAGGAGGGCAGCTAGCTGCAGGTGAGCAGGCCCCACTTTCCCTGTATTTCCACTCCTGTAGGCAACCTATTGCCCAAAGTGGCCTTTTCGGTGATGGTTGCTCACTCAGGGGTATCGGGGAAAGGCTTGTAGGGCATGCAAGTCACGTTCAGAGACCCTGAAAGGGCTTCTGAGCTGAAGTCTATGGCAGTAAGGCCAAACCTGTAATGGAAAACAGCATTTATCCTTCTGAATAAATACAGGTGCTAGCAATATCTTATTTGTTTGTACTGTTCTTACTTCTTGCCATGCCATAGATAATATGCATCTTGAGGCTTTATTTTCATATGCACATTTTGTTTACATAAGCAGTACGTTTTTATCAGCAAGAACCGATGTTAACTGAATTTAACAAAGACAAAGCAAGAGGGAAATGTTCATTTTGCGCATGGTGATATCACAGAAACAATGTGTTTGAAGCCTTGTACTTCAAAAATATGCCTGAGAGGAATGGAAAAATCCAGGCTAATATTGTAAAAACGTGTGTCACAACAGCTATTATCTCTTAAGAAATGGCATTCCAACTCTTTGATTCAGACATTAATGATTTCTCTTTTTAAGTTGTGGTGCTTTCTTACCCTTTTAAGAAACATCTGGGCTAACCCTGGCTATTTGTAGAAATGTTTGCAGTTCATAGATTAAAAGAAATTAGACATAGAAAGGACCCATGAAATTATCTTGTCCATCTCCCAAAAGCATATGAAATTGAAGAAGAATTAGGATTAAAATATATAGTAAAATTTGGAACTTTAACTTATATACAATATGAAGTTGTCAAGACTTTTCAAATTGTAAGGATGCTGGAAACATGTCAAGATTTTTCAATTGTAAGGATGCTGGAAAATGTAATTTTTTTAAAGAAAAGTACATAGAAGACTAGCAAAAGCTCTAATGAATTTTGTGTAGGATTTTCCAGTTGTTCCTAGGCAGCTATCCTTCTGGAATTTGCAGATAAAATTGAAAAGATCTGGTTTTGACCAGTTTGAAGTTGATTCCGTTTTCTAATAAGAGAGAGCTTTAAGCAAAAATAATTTCCTTTTTTAAAACAAAAATAAAGTAAATAAAACTTGTCATTTTCATTAGATTTTTTCAGCTATTTTATCTCCCTCACCATCCCCTCTCCTTTTTTTGTATTTTGCTTTTTAAAAAAATGTTGATGAGTTCTGTTGCCAGAAAGGCTTCTTTCAGAAGTCTTTAAGAAAGTCTGAAAAGGGTGCAGAATATTCTAGCAAAGATTCAGTTTTTGTGAGTAGATACATTCCGCACACTCTCTTATCATCTCAGTAAAGTACTTGGTGTTGCTCATGCTATATGGCCTTGCCTCCAGTTCAGCTGTATGGAGAAGGTGGTGCAGAGGTGGCTACCACCAGTTTTCCGCAAAGGGAACGTCTGCGTAGGTTAGAGGCAGTCACCCAGCACGTTCTCTAAAACACTGGAAGCAGGTAGTTGATGTGATGTGGATCTCGAGCATCTCCAGATGTAAGGATGTATTAACTTTGGTTCTCTGTGTGCTTATGCGTCTGCACGAGCTTAGGCCAGCCATAGAGTCAGCAGGCAAACTGAGCCCTTGCCCAAGGCAGCATAGACTGTCTTGTCTTGGCATTAATGCAGTGAGGATAAAAGCACATAAGATCAGGTAGTGGGTTTCTCCGGACTGGTAGCCTAGGAAGAGTGTAAAAATAGGGCAAACACAAGTAGTCTTTCTTGCATGCACCCAGGTTCTGCAGATAAGAGATTTTCTCAGTCAGAGACAACATCTTTGTGTTTAAAATCTTTAATGGATCGTTTGCCCTTGGATTTGTCTTGCGGCTTTGTGAATCCTTGCCATTTGCAGCCAACAAGTTTCACAGGATAAACCTGTGCCATGTGGAAAGTGGCTCCAGTGGTTGTTTCAAACCTGCAGCTCTGTGATTTCATTTGAAATTTCTCCATTCTTGTATTATGAGAAAAACGAACATTCTCCATCACCTTCACAGCGCTCATGATTATCTAGACCTCAACTAACAGCCCTCAATGATCTCCACCCTGATTTAGAGACCTGGTCTGGGCCCTTCCAGAAGTACTGCTCAGCCACTGATTTTTGTTGTCCCCTTCAGCACTGAGACAGGTTTCAGTGTGAAGAAAACAGAAACTGAAACAACAAAAAGCTCTGAGAATTCTCTGGCCACCTGTACTGATGTCATTTATAGAAAGTGAAATTCTATTTGCTTGCACTGGTTCTGAGTCACAAAGCGTCGAGCATAAGAAAACTCAATTTGTGGGAAGGCTTCTAATTTCCTGTTTTTCAAGAGGAAGGGGATAAAACAAATGATGTGGGGGGAAAGGGGAAAGGAATAAAGAGAATAAATCTAAATAAAGAAGAATGTCAGAATACCCAAACTCTAGGAAGACTAATTCATTTCAGCCCTGCTTGTTCGAACAAGCAGTAGTGCAGAGTATAATGTACAAGCTCCAGTAAATCATTCCTGTATGATAGGCTGTGATCAATGACAATTTAATGAATTCATTTTAAAATGAAGTCAGAATAGGAAAAACAGTAGTTATTTGAAAGAGTACTTTACTCAAATAAATTGAGTCAATAAATATGCTATTTGTCATGCAGAGTCCAGTTAAAGTCTTGTTTGCTAACAAAAATGCTGTCATCACAGAGCCTAATAGAAGGAAACTATCTGGAACTATCCACTGCAAATAGACAAATGCCATCTGAAAGCAGAAAACAACAATTGTGGCTGAACAAAGAATTGTATCCTGAACACACTGATGAATGCAATAGGGTAGCCCACCTCAGAATTAACTATTTTGTTTGTCACTAGCTTGTATTCTGATTTAGGATGAATGGTCTGCTGGTGGTAGAAAACCAAGGGCTGTGTTTCTTCTGTGAAATGAGTTTTAATTGTTGCATGGTGAGAGTTTCTCTTGCTGGAAAAACATGCAGCTAAAGTCACTATTAAATTGCAAAATACGGCTTCAGTGAACTTGGATGGATTTGTGCAGGCTACTAGAACAGGGATAAACTTCATTCCTTTTCAAGCAGCGGTTTTACATTAATTTCCATTGCTATCCATGTTGTTTAGCGCAGATACAAGAAGGCTTTTTGTTTTGCTGTGTTTTTCACGCTTGGCTTTATTCATGTAGGTTGAAGACTTGTGGCAATTCTCACTCATTTTCATTCGGGCAGGGATTGAAAGTGTTAACAGTGAAGCACCGGCAATCCAAGGTTGTCAGACCTCACAGGTCTGGGTTAGAGTTCAATCTGGTGTTGGGTGGAAGGAGCCTGGTTTTCAGATGTGATGAACTGTCAGCAGTGGCTCTTCAGCATCACAGAAGCTTAGAGTTCTCTCATGACGGTGCCAGGGCTTTGCCAGGTGCATTTGGGTTTCCAGCATCCTTCAGATTGTAGGGGGTGGAGGAGAAGAAAGTGCTCAAAAGTCTTGACAGATATCTTGAAGATGATACCTCCTATCCCAAAGGAAAATAAAAATTAAGTTGCAGAAGCCTAAGACAGAGATTATGAAGAATTCTATGTGATTTAAGAATCTGAACTTGACCCTTCACTCTTTAAATTTGGAATAGAACAGCTGGGGCATTTTTAGAGTTTGCATCACGTGGCTGCAGATCGGCTGATTTAAATCTGCCCTGTGGTCATCTTAGGCACATTGTTCATCCACTCCCAGAGCTGCATTTTCAAAAATGAGTTAGGAATCCAAATCCCCTTGGCTTTCAATGAAACTTAAGCTTGTATGAATCTAAGTTACTCCTTAGTTTGGATTTAGGATCCCAGCTGACTGAAAAACTTTAGAATACTCCACAGCCTATATACAAAGTCTTTTTATTTCTGATTGCGAGTGATTCCTAATTGAAATTACAGTTTCAGTCATTTCTGTTTTCCTTGGTGTTCTACTAACCACATAAAAATAGATGGTTTCCTGATAATAGATAGCCTACAAGTTATTTGAGTTATTTTTTTTTGTTCCAATGGCTCTGTTGTTCTTGCTTTGCTCCCGTCACTAACTTTGGTACTTTTTGTTTCAGCTGTTTCTACTACTAGGAGTAAAATCCAGTAAAGACAAAGCAGGATGAAAAGATGGCTGACTTCTTGTTACCACCGGGTACTAACAGCTTCCACCGGTTCACGCCTGAATCCTTGGCTGCTATTGAGAAACGAATTGCGGAGAAGCTTGCAAGGAATGCAAAGCAGGAATACAGAGAGCAGCTGGGTGAAGAAGAGAAACCTCAGCCTCAGTTTGATTTGCAAGCTTGCAAGAAGCTGCCCGATATCTATGGGACTGTTCCTCCAGAGCTCATTGGGGAGCCATTGGAGGACCTTGACCCTTTCTACAATGATCGTAAGGTGAGCACCAGCAGCCATCCTGCTTCTTTGCTTTTGCTAAGGCATAAACGCTGACGCTGTTTTGAGGACTCTGTTTTCTATCTTTCTGCAACTGGTAAAAATATTTGTTTCTGGATTAAGGATCAGAGTTTTGGCATGAGCAGAGCTCACAGGAAACATCTAAACATGAAAGCAAAGAGGGATAAACAGCATAATTAAAACTTGGGTGTTTTCAGATAACTCTGAGTATGAATATACAGTGCCTGAAAAGAGCAGAGCCGTAGCCGTGTTAAAATGAGCCAGAGGTTTTTATCTGCCCTATCTTGCCTTCTGCGTGAGCCTTGACTCTTCACAGGTCTGTTTATCACCTAAGCCCCTTAATGTTAAGGGCTTCTGGGTGACTTGAGTCTTGTGCTAGCACTCCTCACAAGAGCAGGAGGCACCTCCACAATGGTTCCTGGAGAGCAGCG